CAATAATAAGTCAAAGCAGCGAATTTGCGGATTTGAAATCAAGAGAAGAGGAGGCTAAAGAACTTGAAAGACTTAAGAAAGATGCTTGTCCTTGTCAATTTAAGGTTGTATTATATCCCGATCGATGACGAACTTTTCTAAAAAAAATTATTAACTTTTCTTTGATTTATTATTATATAAATAGCAAACTACCGATGATACTGATTTTATTACAAGCATAACTATCAAATGCTAATATTGAAAATTTTGCTTTAATATCTGATTCAGCGTATGTGGTACAGGTTACAAGTCGCATAGTTCGAGCTTTATTCGAAATTGCTTTGAGTCGTAACTGGGCTCAAGTTTCGTCTATTTTATTAGATTTATGTAAAGGTATTGTTCAACATATGTGGACGCTTGAGAATCTTTGGCTCAATTTAAACTGCCTTGAGAGATTATAATGAAGCTTCAAAATAATTCGTACATCCCTTCATTAGAGGACATGAGAGATATGTCCTCGGCTGAACTTAGACAATTAATTAGGCAGAATAACATGGGCACTTATATTTCTAAATGTGTAGACATGTTTCCGATGCTTAAATTGGAAGCACAAGTTGCACCGATTGCACGTAATATTCTACGATTATTACTCTGATTTCGTTTGGAATGATCGTATTCACAGTATTGTAGAACCACGGTGGATATTCGTCGAGGATTCTGAAAATGTTGAATTACATCATTCAGAATATTTTATATTAAACAGGAAGCAACTTGATGAAAATCAATATACATATTAGGTTCACAATCATAATATATGTTCAATAGGATGTTGTTGTATCATTGCAGACACTTAGAGTGATAGTTTGTCGTTGTTAAAATATAGCCAACGCCATGCGTTTAATACTAATTGATAAGGGTTATATATAAAAATAAAAATAAAAACAAAGCATTATGTAGGCAACCTTGGGACAACCTGCTCTACCAAAGATCTGCATAATATCTAAAGTCGATAAATCATCAAATCTACCCTTTTGAGAATCATATTTTTGCGTTCCCTTAATTATTACTGCATAAGCCGGTAAATTTACACCCCAATCTAAAGTTGCAGTACAACACTTCATTAAATCTTTCTACGATATAATGGAACTATATTAGGTTTATGTGCGAAAGTAAGTTTGTCAACCGCTAGTTTGTGAAAACCATCAAATACGCGTCGTGGTTATATTTTATTGACATATCGAATAACAAAAGATTTATAAATTACATGTCATTAATGATTACAATAATTCATAATTATCTAATAACAACGCTAAAGAGTGTTTGTTCAAAACTGAATCTTTTTTAGTAGCTTTAAATATGATCGAAAACTTGGTTTATGTGTGTTCTGGTTAATTATTTTATAAACATACTAATTCTTTTTTTTTTTTTTGAGATTTTCTATTAAATTAATTACTTTATTTTTATTTTATCGTTTTTTGTGTTGTATTTATAAATGAGATACATTAATTTTTAGGTTCTAAATTTAAAGATCAGTTAAAGGCCGTGATATGACTTTTTTTTTATTATTTTATTTATTTATATAATAAATTTATTGTTGTGAATTGTAATAGCAACTTTTCGATTCGAAGGCTGCAGATTATCTTTATTTACTATTAATATTTTTTTTATATAATAAAATAAAATAATTAAATTTAATTATTTGTGTAGTGAATAACAATTATTTCTAAATTTAAAAATCGGTTCAGAAGGCCGCAATATGATCCAAAGTATTCCATTTTGTTTAAAATTGTAAATTTCTAAATTTGTTTTATATTTGGAAAACTAAAATTAATATTTAATTAATTTTTTTTGTTGATAAAAAAATAGAAAAAAAAGAATCGGGTTTAGTTAAATAATAATGAAAAGAACATTCAAATTGTCTATGTATTGCAAATATTAATAATGGTCATAATTTTGTCATCGATACTTAGGATATATCATATTCCGATTAATAATCAGAGCTTTATGTGAAAGCTTAGAATATCTTTTGCCTCAAAAGAAACTTGAAAATTAAGAAAGTTATATCGAATATTGAGTTTTTAAAATTTAGGTTTGATCCTTGTTAGGGAATCGGGTAAATTTGGTAAGCAAATGATTAGTGTATCGCCACAGTAAAGTTCCGTTAAGGAGTTGGGTAATGTCGGTAAGCTATATAAATGAGTATCAGAACAATCAAGAAATGTTAGGGAGTTGGGTAAAGATGGTAAGCTATTTATTTTAGTCCAAGAACATCTGAGTACCGTTAAGGAGTCGGGTAAAGTTGGAAAGCTATTTATTTTAGTGCTATGACAAAAGAGTTCCGTTAAGGAGTTGGGTAATGTTGGTAGGGTGGTTATTGAAGTAACAGAACAATCAAGTTTAGTTAAGGAGTTAGGTAAAGTTGGTAGGATAGTTATTTTAGTATAAGAGCAATTAAGTTCCGTTAAGGAATTGGATAATGTTGGCAAGCTATTTAATTTAGTAATATAACAGTTGAGTGCTGTTAAGGAGTTGGGTAAAGTAGGTAGGATAGTTATGGGAGTATCAGAGCAATCAAGTTCCGTTAAGGAGTTAGGTAATGTTGGTAAGCTATTTAATTTAGTGATATAACAGTTGAGTACTGTTAAAGAGTTGGGTAAAGTTGGTAGGATAGTTATTTTAGTATAAGAACAATTAAGTTCCGTTAAGGAATTGGGTAATGTTGGTAAGCTATTTAATTTAGTGATATCACAGTTGAGTATTGTTAAGGGGTTGGGTAAAGTTGGTAGGTTAGTTATTGGAGTATCAGAGCAATCAAGTTCTGTTAAGGATTTGGGTAATGTTGGTAGGATAGTTATTTGAGTATCAGAGCAATTAAGTTTCGTTAAGGAGTTGGGTAAAGTTAGTAAGCTTGTTATTTGAGAATTTCTACAATCGAATTTTGCCAATTTTCGATATCTTTGTAATCCTCCCGAGGAGTTAAGTATGTCGTCTTTATTATGTTCCGTAATCGTTAAACTAACAATAGTATCATCGAATTCTTCTATTTTCATTTGATCAAGTGAATTATTAATACCGGAAAAAGCATTAACACTTCTCGAA